TGAATGTGTTGGCAGTCTGGGTGCTTCCAAATCTCTCAACGACATGAGAGACTACCGAAGTGTGGAGGTACGGAAGCGCGGAGTAAAACTATTTTTTCCTGGCAAATATGTTCAAACGTACTCACAAATATTTTCCAATGCAGTCGCAAGGAGGTTTCAAACCTACTCGCAAGTATGTTCGGACATACTTGCAAATACAGACGATCCCCAGCTTACGAACGAGATACGTTCCGAAGGATCGTTCGTTAGCTGAATTCGTTTCGTAAGTTGCTTCAGTGCTATATTTTGTATGGAATGTATGTTTAAGGCGTATATAAGTATGTTTAAGGTGTATATAAGTATAATAAAATGAAGTTCAACTTACTTTTGGAAGATGTACTTGAAGGCTTAAGGAGATGATGGAGGGGGAGGAGAAGGAAGAGGAGGATTTTATATCATGGGGCCGAGAGGGTCTTCGTCGCCGCTGGAATGGGCTTCAAGAGTTACTTCCTCCTCCGTAACATCAATGAAGGAAGAAGTTGAGGGTCCAGGAGAAGAAGATGAGGGTTGACGAGTATCTTCCTTGGAGGGTGTAGTCTACTACAGGCTGAAAGAAGCGATCTAACGATGATTGCACAGTTTTCTTCTTTTTCTCATCATAAATGATGCAGTAGCACTGTATGGCATCATTCATTTGATTTGCAACCTTTGTGCAACGTTCAATATTTGGGTCTTGCTGCTTGAAGAGTGCGATGGCTTTATCTATGAGCGAAAACCCCTCGGCCAAGAGTTCCGTCTCAAACTTCTTCATGGGGACAGGCGTTTCCTCCTCCTCCTCCTCCTCTCACAGCGCCTCACGTCGGTATTAGCGGCAGAAAGAAGTACTACAGTACTCGGAAAAAGGCGCGCAATACAAAATCTAACTTACAGCATCTCTGTCCGAGAACATTTTTCGACATACCTGTACCCGCAAAAATGTTCGTATGTACCGTTGTTCGCAACACGAATGTTCGTAAATCGGGGAGCGTCTGTACGTTTTTTAGGCTAAACGCTCCAAACCTAGTATTTTTCCATGATGCCATGGGGTATTGAATTGTGCATGCATTATGGGAAAAAAAAATGCTGAACGTAAATCATGCACTGCAGACATAATAAAACCATCAAATTTTGAATGTACAATATTTCCTTATTTACATTTTGAATGTACTGGTACTGTATATTCATCCATCCATTTTCTGATCCACTTATCCTCCCAAGGATCGCAGGGCGTGCTGGAGCCTATCCCAGCTGTCTTCGGGCAGTAGGCGGGGGACACCCTGAACCGGTTGCCAGCCAATCGCAGTGCACACAAAGACGAACAACCATTTGCACTCACAGTCACACTTAGGGCCAATTTAGAGTGTTCCGTGAATTTGCCATGCATGTTTTTGGAATGTGGGAGGAAACCAGGGTACCTGCGGAAAACCCACACAGGCAAAGGGAGAACATGCAAACTCCACACAAGAAGACCGAAGCCCTGCACCTCTGCACTGTGGGGCCGAGGTGCTAACCAGTCGACCACCGGCCCGCCTTGTGCTGGTAAAATGAAGGTCAAATGCTATCAATACCCCATGGCACCAGAAAGAAATGCTGCATTTGTAGCATTTAGCCTACAACTACATTTGAACATATTCGCAAGGACGTTCGAACCTATTTGTAAGTATGTTCCAATGTATTTGCAAGTACGTTCAAACATGTTTGTGAGTATGGTCGAACATACTTGCGAATAAGTTTGAACGTATTGAAATACCTTCGAACGCTCTGGCAAATAGGTCTGAATGTATTCGCCAGTCAAAATCTTTTTACCTTATGTTAGCAGCTCCATTCAGACAAGAGAAAATGCTCAGTGTGTCCTGAAAATCCCAGAGGAAGATTATACTGCCTGTCACAAATTTATTACTGTATATATGAAGGGCACACGTCACTCAATAGCCATTTATTTCCTAACTATATTATTAACATGCCAATCAACGGCCATAAATATTCTGAGATTAAATTTATTTTAAGGCTGTCCCCCTAGTAAAACGTTATTTAATAATCAACTTCTTGAGCTTACTGACACAATAATGAGTTTATATCTCTTACTGGTAACTCTGAAATGCTGCACTGAAATCACGCATAAAACTTATTTCACATGTTTTGATAATCAATCAGAATTAAGAATTACTTCAGGGATATTGTCTTCTGAAAGATTTGCTTTCCACATCTTAATTTATGTGGTCACGATGATACTCTTTTCTTAAACCTGAAATTACACCTATTGCCAAGTGAAAAGGTGAGCAAACATCAAGTTTTGTCTATGCTTACTACTGAATGTCGTGAATTAATTCGCATCTCAGTTGAATCACACCAATCTGGATGTATTATACTTTGTAGACACACTCCTGGCACAAGTGTTCCTGGCCAGAGTCTTTAAGATTAACTGTGGCTCCACCACTACAACCAACGGCAACAAGTAGCCACCCCTGCAGTCTCATCTTGAAAAAAAAAACATTTAATTAAAGTAAAAGCTACCGAGTCGTCAAACACTGCATTACTGTTATTGCAAGGGCACATTTGTGACAAATGTTTCTGTGACATAATGTCAAATTTTGAATGTACAATATTTCCTTATTTACATTTTGAATGTACTGGTACTGTATATTCATCCATCCATTTTCTGATCCACTTATCCTCCCAAGGATCGCAGGGCGTGCTGGAGCCTATCCCAGCTGTCTTCGGGCAGTAGGCGGGGGACACCCTGAACCGGTTGCCAGCCAATCGCAGTGCACACAAAGACGAACAACCATTTGCACTCACAGTCACACTTAGGGCCAATTTAGAGTGTTCCGTGAATTTGCCATGCATGTTTTTGGAATGTGGGAGGAAACCAGGGTACCTGCGGAAAACCCACACAGGCAAAGGGAGAACATGCAAACTCCACACAAGAAGACCGAAGCCCTGCACCTCTGCACTGTGGGGCCGATGTGCTAACCAGTCGACCACCGGCCCGCCTTGTGCTGGTAAAATGAAGGTCAAATGCTATCAATACCCCATGGCACCAGAAAGAAATGCTGCATTTGTAGCATTTAGCCTACAACTACATTTGAACATATTCGCAAGGACGTTCGAACCTATTTGTAAGTATGTTCCAATGTATTTGCAAGTACGTTCAAACATGTTTGTGAGTATGGTCGAACATACTTGCGAATAAGTTTGAACGTATTGAAATACCTTCGAACGCTCTGGCAAATAGGTCTGAATGTATTCGCCAGTCAAAATCTTTTTACCTTATGTTAGCAGCTCCATTCAGACAAGAGAAAATGCTCAGTGTGTCCTGAAAATCCCAGAGGAAGATTATACTGCCTGTCACAAATTTATTACTGTATATATGAAGGGCACACGTCACTCAATAGCCATTTATTTCCTAACTATATTATTAACATGCCAATCAACGGCCATAAATATTCTGAGATTAAATTTATTTTAAGGCTGTCCCCCTAGTAAAACGTTATTTAATAATCAACTTCTTGAGCTTACTGACACAATAATGAGTTTATATCTCTTACTGGTAACTCTGAAATGCTGCACTGAAATCACGCATAAAACTTATTTCACATGTTTTGATAATCAATCAGAATTAAGAATTACTTCAGGGATATTGTCTTCTGAAAGATTTGCTTTCCACATCTTAATTTATGTGGTCACGATGATACTCTTTTCTTAAACCTGAAATTACACCTATTGCCAAGTGAAAAGGTGAGCAAACATCAAGTTTTGTCTATGCTTACTACTGAATGTCGTGAATTAATTCGCATCTCAGTTGAATCACACCAATCTGGATGTATTATACTTTGTAGACACACTCCTGGCACAAGTGTTCCTGGCCAGAGTCTTTAAGATTAACTGTGGCTCCACCACTACAACCAACGGCAACAAGTAGCCACCCCTGCAGTCTCATCTTGAAAAAAAAAACATTTAATTAAAGTAAAAGCTACCGAGTCGTCAAACACTGCATTACTGTTATTGCAAGGGCACATTTGTGACAAATGTTTCTGTGACATAATGTAGAGCACCACTCACCGGAGCTTCTCACTAAATGGAATAACTTATGGAGAAAGAAAACAGAAATTGAATGGGACTTCTCTCAAGCACTCGCCAGGCTCACTGTTTTATTTACTACCCTCGGGTTATTTGTCACGGGGTCACTAGGAGGAAATACAGAGAATGTTCAATTTATTTGACACAAGGAACTCAGTACCTTTGAAGCTCGGTGGCCAAGGTTTGGAAAAATAGAAGCCACCTTCAAAACCCAGCCTGACAGTCTTGCTCAAGTCCGTCATCTAGTGGTACTACTGATTTCGGAGCCCGTGTAAAAGTCCGATTTCTGCTCTGCCTCAAGGGAATCAATGACTGTCTGTCTGTTGTGAAGCCGCAAGGGAATCAATGTAAGAACAACAAACAACAATGATCATCCTGACATGTGTAATTAGTATCAAATATCTCCATTACTGGAAATAGCATCCTGCTAGAAAATTGCCTCAGTGGGACTTCTTTGTTTGTTTGTGTGGCATCACCATCAGTAACAACTCACTTTACTTTTCAGTTAAGTTGTCCAAATGTGACGTAAGAATTTTGGGGCTTCTTATTTTCGCACTTTATCCGTATTTACTGAAGCAACCACGTGTTTATTCACACATATTGAGATATATATATATATAATATATATATATATATATATATACTAAGTTACCGTATTGCAGTGAATAAAATTGGATAGTACTTTACGTTCAGAGTGAACTCTTAAAAATATCACCATATTCCAAATTCAACTGCTTAGAAAAAGTGACAACACTTTTGGAAAACAATCATCTAGCGCGGCGTTTACAAGGGAGGATGGAATGCGTGCTTTTAAATAATAACAAACGTGAAACCAGGCATCATGTACATCAAAATGAAACGCGCAAGAAGAATACGCTATAAACATCAGCTTGAGCGCTTACCTTTACGATGCGTCCTCAGAAAAGTTCATTATCGTAACTTATGTTCAAAAACTGGACGATGGTTACCATTTTTACTTCTGTATATATTTTTTTCCGAGAGAAGGCAAATACTGAATTGGATGCTTGTAGTTAGGAACTTGTGCTCAGTCTGGGCTGATGCTCTTGCTGCAGCCTTTCTCCCGGTGCAGCCAAAGAGTATAGCAGAGGTAGCAAGATGAGTCACCCACGTCAATACTGCCTCGGCTGTTGATAAACTGCGACCAGTACCTATGTTCAGAGAGAATTTTTAAAATGACTCTTGTTTCGGTGCACTTCGGATTCTCCGGAGTTCTCGCCTACTGTCAATACTTGGGTATTAGACAATAATACATAGGTATTAGACGGTATTGTATATGAGCATGATGCCGTGCAGTTTTACACAACTGTAAACTACACTCACAATAAAAACACGTCGTTCATACATAATAATTCTGTCAGGGTTGTACAGGTCATAGCCTTCACTTTGTAATCCCAGAAATTGTGATATTTTTTTGTTGTAACAGATGTTATTAAATTACTGTGATGGTGGTCACTTGTCATAATATTGTGCCCAGCAAGGTTAAGACAAAAATTTCAGGATTATTCCCCAAGGTCATCGATTCCCAACCATGTTGCCCTGGCAACCTAGTGTGTGATAAAAGATCATGCAAGGATGCTGTGAGTAATTTTCCAATTTCACTTCAATAGAATTAAAAATATATATATTTCTTGGTTCATCTATCAATGCCGGTGAGGTACAGTGAAAGGCGGAACAATTAAATGCTCTTCCATTTGGTTGCAGAGTGAAAAATAAACCTGTGTACTGTATTTCCACGTGTTGCCATTCACACCTCAATACTGTAAATTGTCATTTCCTGCAAGTCCATCAACTTTCTGTTCAACTAAACAGGCCCAAATTTCGAACTAAGTACATTTGCAAGTAAAGTGAGACAAGATTGTTGTTATTTCAATATTCATACTTTTGTGGCATTTTGTTTGGTGGGTTGCCCATGAAATTAGATTTTCTCAGCGAAAAATGGTTACCACCTTGGCTCATTAAAGGTTGGGAAAAACCTCCAATAGTTGCAGATTTGTAACTTTTTGACTGGTAAAATGTCAGCAGCCACCGTGGTGCCCGTGATCACCAGGTAGAGCCCTAAGGACCACGTGAGTAGCCGCGGGTCTTGTCTAAAAATAGTTCACCAGTTGATGGGAGATTATTTTCAAGGAATGTTGTTGAAGTCATCATCTGAAAATGTAAACTCTTGCAAAGTTTCGTGAAAATAACGTGTTGCATCTGGTATTTGTTTGTTTCCAAATGTTTGTGAAAGTTTTCACATGATCAGCGTCTTCATATCAATGAAGCAATAATAGTAACAATAACATTTCAATCTAATTTCAACAAATTTGGTATTTCAAAAGTTTGTATCAATGTGGTAGCCCTTAGCATTAATCAGTACCCAAGAAGTATCTCTCAGTTTCAAAAAGATTGTATTGTAATTTCAAAAATAACAATAATAAAGCTGCGATTGGCTGGCACCCGGTTCAAGGGTGTCCCCCGCCGACTGCCCGAAGACAGCTGGGATAGGCTCCAGCAGCCCCCGTGACCCTTGTGAGGATAAGCGCATCGGAAGATGAATGAATGAATGAACAATAATAAAGCAACTACATGGACAACATACAATTACGATTTAAATGTCCAAAAAATGCCATTAACTTTTTTACGTCTTACGTTTTGTTCATTACGTTACGTTCATTACGTTTTGTTCATATATATGCGCGACAGGGGTGAAAGTTGGTCTATAGTAATGGTTTAACGGGCATTTGTTGCCCTAATTTAGTATACCTTATTTTCTTTTGCAAAGAAAATGACAACCGTTCTGTTCAATAGAACCTGAATAAAGGTTTTGACGTTGCGTCGTGACGTCATTTGTTATGCCTGTCTTTGCATTTCCGAGCAGTTGAGCTAATATGTTTCCAACTGTTTTCTCGCGTTACAGTCGAATAGATATCGAATACATCCTGGCGTACGTATATTGCCTACCTCTTGACTTAACAAAATGATTAAGAGAGAAAAAATTCTCCATCTGAAGAGCAGCCGGGGGCGAAAAGTCCGTGTTGTCCGCGAACATTATTTGAGGGAGCGAGTTCCATGCTACAGCTCTCTGTGTCTTGCCGGCTGTGACAACGGTAAACGTGATCCAAACAGTAAATGTGCTTTTTTACGGCACATATTCATATACCAAAGCTAATATTTTTGCTCAGCAGCAGAACTGTTGGTGAAATGTATTATCTGACAGCCTTATAGGGACCGTGGATAAAATGTTGATTTTTTTCAATGTTCATAATTTAAAAAAAAAACACTATTAATTTCAGTAATATGCAAAACAATATGTTCAATTACACCAAGGTAAACATTTCAATATAATTGTAGGTAAAGTAATCTCTAAATACAAAACAAGAGCCTGCCTTGTTTTGCCGCCATCTTTCTGCTACAAATGCAACAACAATGCTATGCAGTTGTGCAGGCACTTGAGGGAATACTAGAAATCGTTTGGGATGACGTTTAGCTTGCACCTCTGAAGAAGAAAATAGTGGTGGATTTGCGAAGTATGGTCTCTGCAGCTCCGCAATGCGCGTGCTTCAAAATGCACGCGTTTCGATATTGGGTTGTTGCATTCTATTAGTTCACCACTAGATGTAACTCAATTCGACTACACACTGTACCTTTAAAGCCATACACCGCTCAAAATTCATTTTCCATTCATTTTGATTCGTCAGTACTGTGTACAAAGAATAAAATTGCAAAGATCAATGGCATATGATTCCCTGAAAAAAAAGTTTACGTCAATTAAGCTTCAGAACAATTACATACCATGTACGCTGCCATATTGGACAAACCTGTATTTGTGAGTTTCACGTAATTCCTGAGACGTGTTATGTACTCTACACCAGACTCTGTATTTGGATGTGTTTCCTGGTCTGTTGTGCTACAAAAATGCTGCACGATGTCATTAAGTAGTCCCACAGTTTAAACAGGTTCCATGTCTTTTCTAAAAAAATTTATAAATCATCAGTATGGTGGCGTACAGGGTGTGTAATCATTTTGATTATTAATCGTCTTAACCTTTTTTCACCACAGAATCAGACACCAATGATATTTGTACTTTTAATATTTATGCACACTGCCGAATAGAATGAAGGAAAATGAATTTTGAATCGTGTGTTCCTTCAAATAGGTAAGATTACTGAAATATCTCTGTTCAGTTAAAAACAATGTTGAAGGTTCATCGTTTGTCAAGTTACTAGCAACAGTATGTGGTTATTTTTGCTCTTTTGAACACTTAACACATTGGAACACCATGCTGCAGTGAGGTTAGCGCAAACTACAACTATAACAATGAAAAGTATACAATAGCTACAAATGCAAGAATAATATTTGCATTTACAAGCATTATGTATGTATGTAATGGCCTCACTTTGTATGCGGCTCTTACGTTGGATGACACAAGTGAATTTTTAGTGGTGACAAGAATGTAAATACGGTAAGTGATTGTCTGTGCCAGTGCAAGTTGTCACAGCTGTAGTATAGAGACAACTTAAAGAAAATAAATATACCATATACTAAATAATCCAGTGGCTGCATGGGAAAGAGAGCAAAAATGCTTACCTTTTGATTCCATATCCAACCTTCACAGATGGCAAGGTGTTGCCGGGAGATTTGACCCACTATGTGGTGCCTGATGTCGGAGTTGTGGTTGACTACCAGGAGATCTTGGAGTTCAGAGAGCTGCAAGGAATCATCTACACCCAGACAGCCTGCCAAGGTGTCTATCACTGCAAAGGACGCAGGTGTGGACACTTTTGTTTTTTTTTTTCTAATTTGGCGTCATTATAGTTGATAAAGCACTAAAGTGTGTTGTTTTTATTTACTGGTATTGAAAATCTACACCACACGACACCAAAGTGACTCAAAGGCCATACAGGCAAGTTGTTTTTTTTAAACTGCAATAAAACTGCAATGGTAAACCTTACAACGTAGTAGATGGCTCGCTGTATTACAACCCAGCAACAATTGTTGTCTTTACCTTACTAGGCTCTTTTTTTCTTGCAGAACTAAATACTGTACATGGGTGACATAAGAACTGTGATTCTTTTATTTTATTCAAGTCAAATAATTTCTAAAGCCCAGTTGCTTCATTAGATGCCAGCTGATATCTGGAAACTGAAAATAGAAACAAGGAAAAAGGGGGAAATGCATAATTATATGGGGGGGGGGGCTACAAGGGATAAAGAAAGTGATAATCTTATGTGGGGGGGATTTGTAATGATAAGCGAGCATTACATTTTTCAATATCCTTTTTTTTTTTTTTTTTTAAACAAACATGCAAGCCTTAGAACAGCCTGTGTTGTTGTGCCTGTTTGTGTAGAATGAATGGAAAGAAAAAGACTTTAGTTGTATCCACCGTACTTGCAGTGGGCGTTTATGGAGGTTTTTTTTTTTTTTTTTTTTTTTTAATAAATTGCAATACCATAAACACCATAGCAATGTTCATTGGTGCAGTACTATCAAATACTGAGTAGCTGGCTATTAAATCCAAATGCAGAACCAACACACTGTCATTACTTTGATGGAGACAAAAAAGAAAAAGATGGCTTTGAGAAAGAGGTGCAATTAGTATCTTCGTGTTATTTTGACCCATCAGTCTTATTCTTGTTCATTAAACTTGTTTCAGAATACAGTATCCTTTTTAATAACAGCCCCTAACCTTAGGAGTTCAAAAAAATGTCTCGGAGTGACAATAAGGCAGACAGAATTTCAGAAAACATTTAGAATCCAATTTTGAATCGAGTAATTTATTATTGATAGATTGTTTGCCGACAGTAGGTAGGCAGCTGGAGTGCCAAGGAATTTGCTAGGGATGGCAACTGCTGACTCGTAGATCCGCCAGTGGCTGGCGTGCATGTGGTGCAGTCGTTGACAGCAGCTCTCTGGTTGCCATGATGCAGTTTAATGGTTCGGAACAAGTTGAACGAGCCCCGGAGGTTGGTTATTAAAAGTTCAGGGGTCAGAAGGACTGATGACTAAACTCTTAACTTTTAAAAGTGATTTCAAGCTTTAACAAAGGTCCACAACAACAGCGACTTGGCGCAAAAGTGATTACTTTTGTTCAAAATTAAATAACTTTCAATGCAAATAGTAAAATCACTCGTTTTGTGAAATAAATTCGAATAAATAGTCTGATCATATATCTAACTAAACGCTTTAGGTATAGCAAGGCCGTTGTACGGGAGTTGACAGCGGTCACCCTCGTTAAATCGGAGCTTTGCTGATGAAGCTAAATGAGAATGAGCTGGTGACTTGAAATGTATCTCTCCAACACAAACATCCAGGAGTGCTGTTGACGAGCTTGATGAATATTGTAGAAATAAGAAGTCCCACTTGACTGGTTTCATTGCAATTTGTCGAACGTTTCTGCTGACTGCACTGTTCTAAAATGTTGCATCGTTAATCTGATGAACTTTTACTTCTTACAATGTTAGGTGGATATAGTTGGTTGAGTTCATGCTGATGTCATACCAGATCAGAAATTACATTGTGTGGTCCTTGCAACACATGAGATCTATTGAAACACAACATATGTGACTTAAATCAGGTGTCAAATTCATTTTTGTCCCAGGCCACTTTGGAGTTACGTCTTCCTTCGGAAGGCCGTTGCAACAGTGAAACCGAATGAATGTTTAATCATTCATCATTACATCATATTATTACTTGTACATAACAAATCAAATTGATGGATTACTAGTTTTAAAATCAGTTAACTGTTTTTTTGTTGTTTGTTCAAATATTGTCCCCCCCAAAAATATTGCAAAATGTCAACATAATTTATTCCGCATGACAATTTGACTTTTCAATCCAGATTTGCGCAAGGATCACGGAAGTTGACACATATGATTTGCTTTCACGGGCCACATAAAATGACGTGGCAGGCCGGATCTGTGGCCCACGGGTTTGAATTTGACACCTGTGCTTTAGATTGACTGAAGCTGTTTCTCTTGTTAATCAAACACAATAAATGTTGAAGTCAGTATCAAATAGATCCATGCCGCATTGTACAGTCTCATAATTGACAGGTTACAAAAATGGCATTTCACCATGCTGAGGAAAAAGCGGCTGGCATATAGACTCCCCCATGCGAGCAAATTATGGCCCAATCATGAGAGCAAGAGAGCGGCGTAATCAGCAGCCAATGTTACTGCTCAAGTCGGAAGTAGAAAACTTGTCACCTCTTCAAGCAAAACCGTTTTTTTCTTAATTACTGTTTCTAAACCAATTATTGTTGTTTAATTGGTATTGTTTAATGATGGAAAAAAACAACTACAACGAATATCACACGAGAGAGATTGATGTTTTTACTCAACAACCTTTTTGTTATTAGTTGCGTTTACATGGAGATTGAGTGTTTTTTGTCATTCTGATTGAAACCTTTCCGAATGAAAATCTCTAATCACCTGTTTAAATTTGACGTGATCTTTTCCAATCCGCCGTTAAACCTGCTCCACTCCGTTAATCCGATCAGCCGTGTGACACGCGCAGATCGATGTGAACATCATGTGATTTATCAGGATGGAGTTCATTTAGCACAGTCTATTTACCACGGCGCTTGCGATACTTTTAACCTTCTTAGTAAAGCAACATCTTGATTAAAACAAGTTACAAATACTGAAAAACAAGTACTCCTGTTGGAGACGAGCTCTGATAAGACACTGCTGTTTTAAAGTGCGTATGCGACGACGTCAATGCGCATTTACGTAATGACAGCATGCGGAGACCGAACGAAGCTTGGCTGTTCGAATATCTCTGATAACATGTGACACGTTTTCATGAAGTGTGAACTGTACAATTCAGATTTTTTTCAAATTCTACATGGGCCCCTGTGGATATAAATCAGATATGAATGTGATGCGTCATCACCCATATGTCATCAAAAGCCCAAGATGCGCTCTCCGTGGGCAAGGAGACACCTGACAATTTTCCGTGATTTTGAAAATTTTGTGATTTGCTTTTTTTTTTTTTTATTTTAGGAACAGCGTTGTCTTCATATTTAACTGTAATTTAATCCACTTGAAACATGAAGCGAAAAGTTGATATACAGCGTCTGTGATGATCGTAATACAGCCACACCAAATGGTTGATTTATTACACGTGGCAATGACGTGACGTCACTTTTAGTAGTCTCCATAAAATGAGAGTGACGAGGTCGCCTGATTGATAGGATAATCCACTCTCAAACGATTTGTTTGTGACAGCCCTAATTAATTTGATAATCAATGAGGTGTCGCTAATTAATTTGTCATCTCTACTACCACCTGAGTTTTACTACTTTCCTCCTGTTTCTGTCAGGCAAAAACATTTTCATTTGAAAAGGATTGTTGCTTCGTTGTCTCACTATTTTTTTTTTCTTTTATATTTCTCTGGGCAGGCAATATAACCGCTTGCGAAACCTGCTCAAAGACCCCCGACATGACTGTGTTCTGTTTGCGAATGAATTCCAAGAATTTTCCTTCTGTCAGCGGGAGAATGGGGAGAGTCAAGAACAGTGGCAGACAAGGTGAGCCGCTCCTGAAAAACCAGACACTCAACATTATGTTCAAGCCAGAACCAGTACGCTGTTGGTGTGTACAGATCTCAATCAAGTGTTGCACAGAAGACCAAAGTCTGGAGCGAACTACTGTACATTTTGCATTCAGCAGGCTGCAGTTTGCATTTTTTAACCTACAGTATGTTCTCACTGTTCTTGGCCTTGTTAAGATTGCCATCCAAAATCTGACTTTTCGCCCATCCAGATTGAAACCGAATGGCTTTTTTGTATAGACCGAGCAATCACAAAGCATATGAAATTGTTATTTGTGAGACAGCTTGAAGCCACATTCAGGAGGTAGTTTTATATCGGATTTGGAGAGGACGCGTCTCAGTCTGAACGGCTCCAAACACAGCAATCAGTTTTGACTGTCCGTAATGTCAATCTTACGTGACGCAAGACACAGTGCGCCATACCAGAGAGTGCCAATTAAAGTGCAACAGTAAAGAATGTCTCAGTTCAAGGCTGGCTGAAATTGTTGCCGGCCCATATCCAAAACATCTGTTATCTGGACTTTCCCCTGGATGAAAAATACACCTGAATGCTGGCGTTCCTATCAGCCTTTATCCTTCTTTCCCGGGTCCGAGACTGGTATGCCATGTACGTCTCCACAGAAACAATAAGTTGCCGATGCAGCTGCGGACGCTTGACCTGCATACACACCCATGAATGAATGAATACTTTATTGTCATTGCACGCTTGTTACAACGAAATTCTGCAGGAGCCTCCAACCCCAAGTGCGTCGCGAAGTATAAAAATATAAAAAAAATTATAAATACATTGCACTCCCCTAGACCCACACACAATCACATGCACACGTTAAAAATTGATAGTCTGAGTTATGGAATGGATTTTTTTTGTTTTAAATTGTGATAAGAATATGTTCGATATTCGGCACGAGTTAAGGTACAGTCCAAGTTGTCTTACAAAATGATATGAATCAGGGATTAACATGACAGTATGTGGACTATTTCGGACTAATTGAAATACAGTCAGAGATATCATGAGGTATTAAGTAAAATTGCACACCCCCAGGCCTACACATTCACATGCACACGATTTGAGGAATTGAGATTCAGCAGCCTGACAGCCCAGGGATAAAAAGTGTTTCTGTGTCTGTTTGTCCGGCTTCTCATGACTCTATATTTCCTGCCCAGGGGCAGGAGGTTGAAGAGGCACCTGCCAGGGTGGGATGGATCAGTCAGGATTTTCTTTGCCCTTTGTAGCCCTCTTGAGTTAGCGATGTCATCCAGGGTTGGCAGGGGGCAGCCGATGATTTTTTGTGCCGCCTTTATGACTCCTTGCAGAGCATCCCTGTCCTTAGCCGTACAGCCAGCATACCACGCTGTGATGCCGTACGTCAATACGCTCTCCACTGTGGAGCGGTAGAAAGTGTGTAGCAGGTGTGAGCCCGTCTGGCATTTGTTCAGCAATCTTAAGAAGTGCAGCCTCTGTTGCGCTTTCCCGACCAAAGCATCTGTGTTTGCATGCCATTTGAGGTCGTCCGTTACATGCACACCCAGGAACTTGAACGTCGAGACCTTCTCCACACAGACACCGCCCATCTGTAGTGGGGAGGGTTCTGCTCTCTTCCTCCTCCAGTCCATCACCATCTCCTTTGTTTTGCTGGTGTTCAGTAGCAAATTGTTTGATGAACACCAGCCTACGAGTCTCTGTACCTCCTCCCTATACGCCGTCTCATCGCCATTGGAAATGAGACCCACCAATGTAGTGTCATCGGCGAATTTCACGATGACATTTGAGTCATACTTGGGGGTACAGTCATGTGTGTACAGTGTAAATAGGAAGGGGCTCAGCACACAGCCCTGGGGGGAGCCCGTGCTGAGTGTCAGCGTGGAGGATGTGTGGGGCCCCACCCTCACAGTCTGTGGTCGATCTGTCAGGAAGCTTCTGATCCATTCACAAGTGGGGGATTTAATCTATCAGGAAAGGATGTTTATTTTGTAGTTGACATGAAAAACTATTCTTTTCTAAAGACAGTGACGTACGCTGGCGCTGGGATGGACCAATGACTATAAAAATCGTAAAAAGTGAACGAATGTAATTTGTTGACGGTTATCTTAATCCATAGAGCCAGTTATTCCGGAATGATTATACCCTTATATTGTTTCATTGCTAAAAGAAAAAAAGGGTAATTTTTCAAAACATATTCAAAAAGGCATTAGGTGTCTGGAACCTATCGAAATACTATTCGGTCAGAATCTACCCGTTATCGCAGGCTACGCAATAATATGTTAAATTAATCAAATTAACTTTTTCAGGTTAAAAAAAGTCAATAAGTTTACACCAATGATTTAATTTACTGATAATTAACTAAAACAATCAATTATAATCATTGGATTATTTTTGTTCACAATAGTAAAATTCATACAAGAAACAAATATCAATGAAGTGAAATAAAACAAAATTCCTGATATGTGAATTGTGTTACATAAAATAATGTCATAAGATCATATTATATTAAGTCTAAGATGTATTAGGAGCTAAGAAACAGTATTATCAAAGAAAATATGAAATTAAACAGTAACAAGGAAGAAGGTTACCAGTTGTTGCTCTACCTTCCCTTTATAGCCCCTTTTGGCTTGTTTAATTCCTCTTTTCAGGTTTGCCCTGGCCACGGCATACAGCTCCCGGTCTCCGGCCCTGAATGCAGAATCCCGGGCCCTGAGTAGAGTCCGCACTTTCCGCGTCATCCATGGCTTTACATTTTTGAACACTTTAATCTGTTTATCCACTGTGACATTGTCAGTGCAGGTCTTAATGTAAAATAAAACAGTCTCAGTGCGTTCATTTAAGTCCAAGTGATCAAAAATAGTCCAGTCCGTATTTTCAAAACAGTCCTGGAGCTGGCTGAGTGCATCTATGGGCCAGGTTTTGACAGTTTTCCTGACTGGTTTGGTTCTTATTCTGATGGGTCTATACGCTGGCACACTGAATAGTGAGATGTGATCAGAAGTGATAATCACTTGCACACAAATCACTGTTATCACAACCTTCGTTGGATTTTGATGGAGCACTAGTTGTCTCTCCCAACCTGCACAAAGACAACTACTGATACACACACACACACACACACACACACACACACACACACACACGCACACACACAGAAAAGAAAGGGCGGGCCTCAAGGAGCAGAGTCAGGGGCTCTAACGTTTCTAAGTTTTAATTATTTCGTTAGTTTTTGTTAACTGTAATAACCTGGTTTTCTACAATTGTACGATGGGACCAATCAAATGGAGTTGAAATATGGCTCATGTGTGTTCCACACCCCTGATTGAAAAGGTCATCTGCAATAGTTGTAATTACGAGTGTCAGTATTAGTTTGTAAGTGAATGTACATTTTTCCATTTCATTCATAGCATAGAGGATGCAGTGACTTCATGTTTGTTTGTGTGTGCAGGTGTGTGTACTCTGCAGCAGTTTGGTACTATAACCACCTAGCTGGTATGATGGATGTTGTGATGATAACAGAGGACCAGGACATTATTGCTCGGTATAGCAGCCTCCACACTGGAGTGTACGTCATCTCTGTCCAGGTACAGGATTGAATACAGCTCGGGTTCCCACATCACGCCAATGTACGACGTACAGCCGAGAGCTACTTTTTGGCTACTGATTTGTGCAACGGGCTACCAGTTTGATACACACACACATGATGTTAAAACACAGTTTGAGAGTTTTGATCAGGGATGAGATTTTTCCGCTTTTTGGCGGAATTCCGCTTTTTTTCCAGTCAAAATGGACCTATTTTATATTGTTCCAAATCCGTAAAAAAATTCTGGGGGGGCAGGGGGTGTCCGGACTTGTCTTCGGCAGATTCGGGGCTCGTAATGTTTACAAGTTAACATTTGCAAGCATCCATTTTGAATCCCGTTTTTTATCGCAAAGCGTTAGTTTGTCGTTACTTCCTATATGGGCTAAAACCGATGTCTTACTTGTTGTGATTGGTCGCTATATCGGCAAATGCAAATCACAACCAATCTGTGTTCGCCTTCCGAAACCAATTTCTCGCGAATGCCGAATGTTATCGAGACTCGCGACCAAGCTAAAGTGCGTCAGATAGATGCGGATCTGAAAAACACGTTTCGATGGGACTGGTTGGATAGAAAGCTGACGGTGTCCCCAGTAGGAAACAGTAAAGAGGAACCATTGTGCTTGGATTTCGTGAAAAAGCTCGATGTCACCGGTAAAGCTCTGTGTACAGTGTGTGACGATGTCATTCTATACGGATCGAGAGGATGGAAAGCTTTACAGAGTCACGCAACCTCGGTGAAACAC